TAATAAATTAATAAAATTCCAACTTCTATATATTTATTTTGAAAAAAAATAATTAATTTTAGAAAGTTGATTTATAATTGATATTTTTTACTTTTATCTTTTCAATAATTTTTTTTATTATTGATGTTATTTAAAAATAAATACACTATGTCAAAAAAATTAAAGATGTTTATAATAAATCACTTTAAAAATACATATATAAATAAATAAATATATATATATATATATATATATATAAAGATATATATAAATATATATATTTTAAGTGATTTATTATATATTATTATTAAAAAATATCTATGTATACATCTATATATATATATATATATATATATATATATGTTGTTGTTGTTGTGAAAGTCCATCTGAATGTCCACGTAATAATGTTTTGGATTCTGGGTCTGAAGGGGAAGGTAATCACTGGGTCTAAAACTTTGCACCAAGCCCATTAAAACCAGTTCTTTTGTTTGTTATGACAGTGATTAATTTTTTTATTATTAAATGTAAGAGTGGTTTGAGTTTAATGATAATTATTTTGCAAATTGATCCAAAGTTACCAGGTTAAATCTAAGCCAAACAACCAAATTATTCATATTTCAAACCTTGCAAAACCAAAACTTAATATTTTTTCTTCTTTTTGCTATTTTCTCTCTCTCACACATACTCATTGCAGTCAACACTGCTTTCATTTCTACTACAGCCAAAATTACTAAAGTAATTCTATCAAAGTGTTTTAGAGCTTTTTGTATTAGGTTACATTTTCTACACTAATGATTAGATCAATTTATAACATGTGGCATGTTCAAATACAATTTAAATATCAGCATCAATGAAGTCTTGAAAGTTATATTGCATCATTTACAAAACATAAAGAATTTGTTTTCTTTCTATTTGAAAATTTTATGCAAGTGATATTGAAGTTATATGCAATATTATGTTTAATTGTAATAAATCTTACAGTAATGTACTTTGTAAACTGGTATTTTAAAGTAGTTGAAGCTTACATAATTTATTTAAATTATAAAGTAAATAAATTTGCATAAAAAAGCTAATTTATTTATTTTCTTTGATATTAAGTTTTAAAGATGTACACTTTTATGAAATATTTTTAAAATAAGTTATATATATTTTAGTTAAAAACATTATATAAAACAAAATATAATTCACACATAATATCATACTTTTAATTTAGTGAATTCTAATAGTATTAACTATTGCAACAAAAAAGAGTCTCCAATGCTAAAATTTGGTTAATTTTCTTATTCTTTTGTATTTTTTAAATAATATATTCGAAATATAAGTAAAATTATAATTTTTTATAATAATAAAAAAAATATAATTTATTTTTTAAATACTTTAAAGTTTTATTAGATTAAATTGATATTTGTGGTATTGAATTTAATAAATTTGTAGCACAAATTTCATTGTACCTCAATAAATATGACAAGTTATAGCATTAAAAATTATCACAAATATTATTTATAACTTCTAAATTGTGATATAAAACTTTAGGTGAATGAAAACTATTTGAATTAAAAAAAAAATACTATCTTTCATGAAACTAACAACTAAAGAATTAGAAGACTAAAATGTCTATGATGTTTTAAATCCTAAATATTTGTATATATATATATATATATATATATAAAGGACAGCAATAGACTTATTAAAATAGAACTGTAATTACACAATTTCTATGTGTTTTCATATTATTTATTTCTCAAAAATATTTGAATAATCAATTTACAATAATTAAGTATCATTAAATCAAAAATAACATTAAAAACCTACCTCTTTGAAAAAAAATACCTACAAAAATAATACATCAAATTAAAGAAATATTCATTTATATATATATATATATATATATATATATATATATATTTGAACTTGTCTCAATCCACTACATATGTGTCCATTGCAGGACATAATTAGTGTTTGAAATTAAAATAAGATATTCCATGATTCTTTGCACAAATGTATGAAAAAATATTATTATTATTATTATAAAAATTAATATCTATCATGTGTACTATGATGTTAAAAATAATTTCTCATGACATAATACAAAAAGTATTATCATAATGAAAAATAAAATGTAATGATAGTATTTTTTTTATTATAATCAGTAAATATATATAATTGTAATATATTTTAAAACCATACGAAAAAAATAATGTTAATATAAATATATAAATATAAATATGTATATTTTGTGTTATATATTTTAATATATTAATATATAACTATTTTCGGTTATCATATAATTTTTTTGTTGTTAAATATACTATCTATAGTTATCATTATTTTATTTTCTATTTTTCTTTAAATTATCATTTAATATTCAATATTTAAGTTAAATTTGTGAGTCTTTATTTGTTAGAAGTTTGTTTAAACATTTTTATTTTTATCTTTTTTATAAAAATTAACTTAGCACATAAAACTGTCAAGATATATTTTAAATAAATTTTTTCTTTTCAAAATTATCTGAATAAATATTTTTTAAATAGTCAAAACTACATTTCTTCTTTCTTGTTTGTACAAAAATAGTTATAAAACAAATCATGGTTTGATTTTTATGTCATATTTTTATTAATTTCAACTTAAAAAACTTTGGGCTATTTATTTTCTTAAAATATTTTTAAAATTGTAAATATTCCAATATGTTTTTCCAGCTCTATATAGTAGTCGACCATGAAATATTCATGTGTGATGTGATATAAAATGAATTTAATTTTTAAAGAATTTTGCCGTTTTTATTAGTACGTTTTTTTATTATTTTTGAAATTTTAAATTACTTCACTAAATTTAAAGAAAGAAATATGGCTTTTCTTGCAGAAAATGTAATTTATTTTAGTTGTATAAATTGAAATGTAATAAATTAACTTTATGCCATAATTTTGCACTATTTAAACTTATGTGTGTGTATATATGTATATTATAATATTTACATATAGCAGAAGGGTTACTCTGTACGAGGTAATGAATCTAAAAATATTTAAATAAATTTGAGTACATAAATGTCAAACATCCGAAGAAAAGATTCAATTGGACTATGATACTATAAATTGATTCTCCACCAATATGAATAGCCACAATCTTTAAATCAGTAACAACAACAACCATTCTAATCAGAATCATAGTCAAATTTAATTAAACCAGCAAAACTTACATAAAATCATCACATCTTGTTTTAGATAGTTTGTATTGGGGAAAAATAAATAAATAAATTACCATTCATAGGTCATGAATGCTCTCAACACAATCTATGTAACTCAAATGCTTCAAACCCAATCTCCATCACTACAAAAAATAAATAAATCAATCAATAAAACCACCCCACAAGTATGATACTTCACATGCTTGCTTACGTGCTCTCAATAGATGGAAAAATAAAACCATTGAACCAAGATTGGAGACCTTGATTTCAGTGAGATGGGTGGATTTGAATGATTATGATATTGGCCTTTGAAGTGCAATAAACAAAAAAAACCTAATTAATTGAGCAATGATGAAAACCATCAATGGGAATGGGTCCATCCCTAAAAGAAGAAAGATGAAAAAAGAAAAAAGAAAAAAGAACATGAATGAGAAGAAGTGATAATATGAGCAATCTTACATGGATTTTCACTTCCCATGTTTCAAGCACTTGGGTGTGAAGGTTTAAAGCCTTTTAACCCAATAAGCCACAACCAACATCTCATCCCAGCAACAAGCCATTTTCCAGCCCCATGAAGCCCAACAAGATCCAAAACGTGTTTAGGGTTAAGAACTTTAGGGTTTGCAAATTGGGCAGCAGGAATTTGTTTTCAAGCCAGGGCAGCAGAGCTAGCCTCATTGGAATTTCACTTCCCTAAACCATGAAAACAAAATTACATATATATATATATATATATATATATAAGTTCATGTTGGTTGGTTTTTATTCAAGCCACAACTTTATGGGCCAGAAGAGACTGCCTGTGAAACTTTACTATCACCAAGTTATTATTATGCATGTGCAACTAGTGTATGAGGTGGGCGGGGGGAGGGAGTTATATAGATATGTTTATTTATTTCCATTATTTCCTTTATTGTTGTTTTCTTTTAAATTTTTTACTTCAAGTGTGTGCATTGCCATCATGTCCATAATGGGGACCAGGGGTTTTGCATTTACTTTGGGCCCCCTTAGGCTTTCTCAGTCCATGTGTGTTGTTGCCAAGGCAGTAATGGGCTAGTAATCCCCTCCTTCACTCCTGCTCTGGATCATGATGGTGCACCTACAAGTGAGAGCCCAGTGATGTTGATAATCAATGGAGAATGATCAAGTGAGAGGCTCTCTCTGCAGCGAAACCCTTTGTTGATCATCATCAGGGAAATGGGTGTTGCTACATGGGTTTTGCTTCAGCTCTCCTCCTTCAGCTCCACTGCTTTCAGTCATGAGCTTTCCATGATTTGCAGCTAACGTCCCACGTCAGAGCTCTCAGGACGACGCATATCTATCAAACTTCGAAGGAAGGGCAAGACTTCCTTCATCCTCCTGACCAGAAACGTTTCTCGAAGGGGCTTCTGATTCGCAAGCTTTGATGGAGAACGTGCAAGTTGCATGATCATGAAAGAGTCATGCGGGAGGGGAATTACAATGGGACAAAGTCGGTTGCGGCGTCGGTGACGCATTCGGGAGAAAGTAACTCCATCGAAGTGTGTGTGTACACAGTGATGAAATAATTCAGGAAAATGCTTTGAACATATACCGTTATAAATCAATTGGAAAGGGTGCATAACTAAGTAGCCAGCGAAACTCTCTTTGCAAGTCACTGGAAAATGGTGATCTGTGGCTGGACAAAAAGCTTGCACACAACTCCTGAATTGGGACTAATAATGTTTATGACTGGAGAGTGGTGAACATGGGTTAATAGATCCACATGGGTTGTGGTGAAGCTAGTGTTGAAGACCTGCAAGCGGGGAAAATATACATTGCTGAGAACCATCCAAAGCATGCAACTGGTACATCAGAAGGATTGACATGAAAGCAGATGGAAATATATGTTGTAGTTGAAATCAGAGGAGAGAGGCGGGAGGATTGTTTCCGCTGCTCAAAGGGAATTTCGCACAGTTTGATGTAGTTGCCCACAGTCAGTGAAAAAATGTGGTAGAATTTATGATACAGTGTTCGGGGTGTGGCCGACGGTCTCTTTGCAGCAGCCCCACTCGAGGCTCAGTCACTCCCGGGTTTTACATCCTCCATCACCAGCTGGAACCGATCGTCTTCTGAATGATCATAAATATATATATATATATATATATATCCCTCCCCTCAACTCCGCAATCTAAACAGGAGGTATGGTCCTTCCAATCCTAGTCACAATTTGCCGTGTACAACGATGGGTTCTCCCTCGGGATCACCCCACTCTCAAAATTACAAAACTGGAGTTGCAGTGTTCGAAACGGTGAACTCGCTAGCTCTCTCTCTCTCTCTCTCTCTCTCTCTCTAACTGTTCAGGATCTCCTTCAAAATCAGATCCTTTGATTCAACTGGCATGGCACCAGTCTCAAGCTTGTGATTTCGGTGAGCGATCCGTCATATATGTCCTTCGCAATGCGTGTCGCGTCTTTGGAAGCTCCCAAGAGCCCTTTCCTGCCGAGCCCTGCCACGTAAAGTCCGTTCTCGCCTTTCCATCCGTGAGGGAAGGGCTGGCGTGGAAATCCCTCGTCTGAGAAAAACTTACTGTCATCCTGCACACCAGAGCCCTCAAGAGAATCAAATATTCGCCATCTTTTGCCCAGTGCCATTAAGTTTGCCGTGAAGTCAGTAAACGAGAGCTACATCAAACATAATTCGGTGTCGTGTGTAAGACCTACCTTGAGCCAGCTAGGGACATTGCTCTTGTACCCCGTCGCCAGGATCACGGCATCGAATTCCTCCAGTCGACCGTCCTCGAATAGGGCCCCAGTGGGAGTCAGGCGCTCTACGGCGGGTAGCACCTGCACTCAATCAGCAATGAGAGGAAAGGGGGTGCTGTTAGCAATGACAGCCATCACAGTTTGTTAACCTAAACATTCTTCATTGAATTGGTAGAATCCGCTCTGCTGCACAGCGCAGATGATCATTCCAATCCCTCCCAATTACAGTCACGTACCTTAACTTGGCCGCTCTTGATCAACTTTAAAGTGCCCACATCCAGAATGGGGGTCTTGCCGTGCTTCTCCTTGAGCACCATCGGGCCCTCGCTCGGGCGATGAATGCCGAACTTGGCTGTGTTGCCGAGGGCCGAGTACGCATAAGCCAGAAGGAGCCAGTCCACTAACCAGACCGGTAGTTTCTCCATCAGCTTCATCGCCACCAGAAACGTGGATTTAAACATCATCTCCCTGGGCAGGATGTGAGTCTGCAGTGAATTGACACAATCGCCATACGCACTGATTAGTACCAAATACACACACACACACACACACTTCTTCACTCACATGTACTCAGGTGGCGGAAAGGGAATACGATTGGGGTGTCTTTGGCAAAGTTCACACCGGACTGCGGACGACGATGGAGGGGTAAGCGCCGAAATTGGCCAAGTCGAGAGCAATCTCCATGCCCGTGTTGCCGCACCCGACCACGAGTACCTTCTTCCCTTCGTACTCCGTCCCATTCCGATAGCGGCTGGAGTGGAAGATCTTGCTCCCGCCGCGAAACTCTTTTGAGCCCTTGAAGGAGGGGATGACCGGCTCGGCGTTCTCCCCCGACGCAACCACCAGCCACCGAGCTCGAAACTCCCGGTCGGGGTCGCCCTTCCCACCGGCGCAAGTCACGTGGACATGCCACAGGCCGGAGCGAGAATCGAAGTTCGCGAGATCCACCGAGTGGTTGAACAACGGCTGTAGTTTGAAGCGGGCGGCATACTCCTGAAGATACTCCACGAACTGGTGGCGGGTGGGGTAAGTGGGGAAGTCCACTGGGAAAGGGGAGTGCGGGAGCTCGCAAAACTGCTTCGGGAGATGAAGGTGCAGCCTGTCGTAGGTCTTGGTCTGCCACAGCGAGGCGATGCAAGACGATTTCTCCAGAATCAAGACGTGGACGCCTAGCTTCTTGAGGCACGCTGCTGTCGCGAGTCCTGATGGACCTGCGCCGACGATGATAGCCCCGTTGCAATAACTGGGCGGTTGCTTCTTCCGCGTCGAAAGGTCTTGCGTAGCACCCTTCACCCAATATCCCGTTGCGGTCACATGCGGCGGCATGTTGAATCACCTCACGGGGCTATCGTCAAGGCTTCGCCCAAACCAATTACTCAATGCACCAGCGGTTACTAAACTACTGGTTCTACTCGCTCATCCGCAACGCGCTTCAGCTCGCAAACTCCATCAGTCTTCTTCGACTCTTGAGCAGAGGTTCTACCCCAGCATAATTCATAGGCATGTTGCACACGCACGTCTAGCTCGGCCCAAAGATCCAAACCCACCTCTCTGCACAAAGTAGTCAATTCTCCTCTTGCCAGTCACCCTCGTGTACTCATAAGACCCAATGCTTCAGATCCAGTTCCAGTCACTGAACTACGCTCTCAAGCCTGCAAAATCCACGTCCCCTAGTCCTCTCCGCAAACTTCCAACAACCGGTCCCCGCAACACATCACAACCTCACACCATCCATCCAAACATCACGATTCTCCCACTGCATTCTTCAGCTTCGGCGCGCAAACTACGCAACCGCCACCCCTCTAATCCAAGCACGAACACTGACAGCGCGGCAACACCGCAAGCTCACGTCAATCAAGCAACTCTCAATTGCGTCATCACTCAACCTCCCACTCTCTCCTTCTCGTCCTCCTCCTCGTCGTCGTTGGAGTCACGTTCTGATCTCCCACACCCTTTCGAGTCTACGCCCCCATTCTCGCACCTTTCAAAGGTCCACACATTGCAGCTCCAGTGTCTGATCCCCGCGATATTCTGAGCGAAAGATGTGTAAAGCTCCAAGCTCCTCACGCACTCAACACACACACACATACACTTCCACACACACACTTTTACACACATACACACACGCGCACACAAACTCACACACAAACTCACACTCACTTCCTCACACTCAACACAGAGGCAGCAGCAGATAGACGATCGGCTTGAGCTTGAGAGCCAAGAGGCGATTTCGAAACGCTTTTTTCCCCGCAGTCTGCAGTGACAACAACCCATGTGCGGAAAATCTATTTTCGCAGTGCCATATTTATACGTGACCTCCTTTCGAGCGGCTTGCCTCATTCTAACCCGCCCGCTTAACAACGCGCCGCCAAGCACCCCCCCCCCCCCCCCCCTACGGCCAGGGTACATGAGGAGAAGGAGGGCCATGTCCTGATATGTATCAGAACTCTGGGCGATGGCCTGCCTAAGCACAACTAGGAAGAAGAGGGAGAGGATTCCAGTTTATGGGTTATCAGTAATAACTGCTTTTGTGGGGGCCATTACAGAGGAAGATCTTATTTGTCTCATTGATGAGGGCCACTTAGTGTTGGTTCCATTTTCTTCATGTTACTGCAGTTGGCCTGAAGATTCGGGAATTAGTACTTGGTTAGTTAGTAAGTGCTCCTGTTGGGTTTCCCTGCTTCTGTGTGTCTGTTTGGTCCTGATTATGCACCCATTTTTGGGTTGGGTTTTTGTTTGTTTGCTTCGGATGGAAACAGGCTGCTTTTCGAATTGTTGCGTTTGGTGGGTTTGTAGGGTTGATATTGGGCTTTAGGGTTTTGGGTTTTGTTTTGTGTAATGGGGTTGTTGTTGAATGGGTTGAGGCTTTTGATGTGGTTGCATTAGTGGAGACAGTATCAGGCTTTCTTTACAAGAACATCAGAAGATTGAATATAATAAAAACATCCAGTGTACACAGTGTGCTGCTTTTTAGTATTATTGTTATTATTATTATTAAAATGGTGTCAAAGTCTAGAAAAGAATAATGTACAGTAACAAAGAAATCAGGTAGCCTTTTTTACTTTTGCAGTTGTGATATGAATGCCAGCTGACAGTGAATCTCAGCATTAGAGGATGTCAAACTTGTGAAATGAGATAGAGGAATGTTGGGAGAATTTTGTTTTTAATATTATATTTGCAGTTTAAGAAGAGAGAACAAATCAAAGGGAGATGTGAATCCTGTGGGTTAAGGATTTTGATGCGTGGTTGCTCCTACCAAGCCAGAGGGCCTTTGTTTTTGTTTTGTTTTGTTTTGTGTTTTGTGTTTTTTTTTTTTTTTTTTTTTTTTTTTTTTTCAACAGACTACACAGTTTATCTCAAAGAATTATTCTCGCAGATGCTGACCTGAACATTCCTCATTATCAAAGCAACTCAAGCAATGAGAAATAGCGAATGAAAAACCAAAACATTGTTAATCTCTCCCTATAGATGAAGAACAACAAGAAGAAGAAAGATCTAAATAAGAAGCCTCTTCAGTATCAAACAATTGGCAGTTTATAACTCAATCTGATACAAAAATAAATAAATAAAAATAAAAATAAAAGTCACTAACCTCATATCTCCCCTTTATATTGATATAGATAGATAGATGTACAAGGGAGGTATATTCTTTATAATTTTTTGGTTATTTACTTGCCTTAAAACCAAACATTTCTTCAAGTCTGGCAAATAAAACGAGAAGATTGCATTTTAGTATGATTGGAGAATTAAAGTAAAAAAAAATCCCTTCCAAGCATCCTTTGCCTTCTATTGATTTTTTTGATTTTTTTGTGTGTAGCACGTTTAGAAATAAAATGTTTGTCTTTACATCATCACTTCAGTTATCTCCCATTATTGGAAGAAAAAAGAGAAAAGAAAATAAAATCTTTCACCATCATTATTTGATTTCATTTAATTTTGTCAATTACCCCTACGGACCCCACATCCTTTATCCACAACAAAATCAAAAAAGCCTATCAAATCTACATTATTATATTTCGACTACTTATTTATTTTAGAAAAAAGTAGGAATGTGAAAATCCTTAATAAAAATGGGACAAGAGAGTGTGAGATATAATGGCAACTTTCATTCTCCTTAATAGTGATTTAGGATGCATCAATTGTAAACACAAACCCTAAAATCTCTTTCTTTCATGAATTGGGGGAAAATCACAAGTTTTTTTTTTAATTCAATGAGCGGCATTCATCTAATAAGGATGAATTTTGCAAAGTTATGGGATCCATAATTCATCCAATCAACCTGCCCATTCCCCTTATGATCATTTCCCCAACTCAGAAACCCAAAGTACACATGAGTGAAATTATGGAGTGTACTGAGAAATGGACTAAGCTAGAGTACCAATATAAAGCTTGCAAAATTAATTAAATAATTTATTAATTAAATTTCAGCAGAAAGCTAATTGATATAGTCATAATATTTCAGTACTTTGTCTCATTGGAGATTGGTAGAGAGTTGAAGATTCGTTAAGCGGAGGGCCAATAAGAAGTGATAACGGGAAAAAAGAAAAAAGAAAACAAAAACACAAACAAATTAACTGTTAGCAAGTTCCTTGAGGGATTGAATTAAGAGAGGAAAAGGAATGTCTAGGGGGAGTAGAATGTGGAACATTAAAATACTATATTAATATTATATTATTTCAAAAGTCATTTTTGATAGAAGGGTCATTGGAAAGCTTTGTAAATGGATTTATCTTCATCCTCTTAACTTTGTAAGAATAAAATAAAATAAAAGGTAGAGATAATTAAAAAGAAAAAAAAATAGAAGAAAAAGTATCCTTTTTGATTAGAAGTCAATGAACATAATGGACCCATAACCGTGTTTTAGGGTTTTTATATATTATTTATATTCTATATTTTATTATTATTTTATTATTTAGCTATTTCATAATAGCTAGTAATCATGTACCATGAATACTCTATCTTAACGAATGATCGACACATGGCAAATCTAGTCATCTGCCCGGATTTCGATGAGCAAAATTTTGGGCTGCCCGACGCCTTTTTAACATACTGCCCGAGTTACAGGTGTTGCAGAATGATTGGCCTTTTCATTTTTATTTTTCTAGAGGGATAACATTTTCGTGGGACATCATTTTAATAAGGAATAATTCATATTAAAAAACAAATAACAAGTAGTTAATAAACATTTTATCACTCAGTGTCTTTAAATTCAAAGCCAAACAGGAAAATACAATTTTGTTTCAGGTGTATCCAACAATTGGCAATGAGCTTGATTGATTGAAGGGGGCTACTGACAAATATTATTGACAAGGATCACAACAATACCAATTACCAACTTCTATTTCATCATTAATATCAACATTTTAATGTCGCCAAAATCCAAACTTTCTTCATTGTAATAGTTAATAGCCCCTGGTCTAATAAACAAAATTAAATAAATCTGAACAAGTCTATGATGTGATGATTCAAGTGGGACATCAAGTCATTTCTCTGGGGGAGCATTAGATGAACTCATTCATGCCCCCCAACACCCAAAAATTAAGTATTTATGTGTGTATAAATTTTATTAACGGAGATATCAATGATTCATAAAATCATAATCATGTATCAACGTCATATTGAGTGTGCTTGTAATGAAGCTGAATTATTCCAAAGGGGCTCTCTTTCAAATGCTCTATAGATCCACAATTCATTAACTCAGTAATTTATGGGTGATTTGGTTTTTTATTTTTATCTTAATTTGTTGCCGGTATTATTGGAATGCTACTTTTGTATGATGTGAAGTCTGTTATAACTTTTCCTTTTTTTTCCTTTTTTACATACACCTTCACATTCTTAAGTCTTGCAAGAAAAAGAAAAGAAAATCACAGCATAGTTTTGGTTTCTGAAACTATGCTTTTCTAATGTCTAAATCAATCCTATTATATTAGGGCTCAACAGGGATCAGTTTGTTACAAAGAGGTCTAAATTAAGTGATAGCCATGGCTAAGTCTCAACAAAGCAAAAAATAAAACTAAATAAATAAAAATAAAAGGAAAAATAGATCACAAGCTAAGGCTATATATGGGCTAAGATGGATCATATCACACTATGTAGTAGTGGTTAGATGTTGGGTGTGGCATGAAGATGTACTTGGTCCCCAAGTAACATACTCATCAATCATTTCTAAAGCTTTACACTCTAAACTCTTCCTCACAAACCAAAGCATTATTGTTACAAAGAGTTGCTTGGTATGTGTGAGTCACTTCTCTTGGCTGCCCATCTTGTGAAATAATCACTAATCAATTCAACTTGTCATTTATTTCATCAATTCCTATTTATTTATTTATTTTTAAAAACTCAACAATCTAATA